TTATTTGTTGAAAGGGGGTTTTTTGAAAAAAAATATCAATCAACTACATTTGAATTTGGTGTGTCCTGGAATCATTATTTTATTTTGGTTACCAGATAATTTTTAGATGCTCTCAAGGTTTCCGGTTCAAGTTATTCTCGAAAAAAAGTAGCTTTGGCAATAGTTTAGGCTTCACGTGAAAAATTGTTCTTTATGATGCGAATTTGTTTTCGCGTCCAGAATTGATTTTGAATAAAAATAAGTTAATTATCAATCAACTACATTCTATATTCCTATTATTTATCAATTTTGATTTTTAACATTAATTTTAATAATTTCACCCAATTTCGGCAATTTCAACTGGAAACCTTAATCCAAATGAGAGCATAGATTCTATCAAAAACTATGCAAAGTGTACCTCTCCTACCGGTTCATCTTCATAAGAACATAATTACTTGGTTCCTTTGTAATTCATCATGAATAACAAATAGATGGACCTTTTGTGGACTAAGATAATAGATCTTATTTACCTCGTCAGGAAAAATTTTCCAACGCAATATTACACTCACAAGTTATTATGTAATTGATAATGGATGATTTTTTCATTTCATTTTAATTCTTCACAAATAAATATCTGAGCAAACATCGTGCGGTCAAACCTCGTTTCAACGAATTATAATTAAATTCGTAATAACGAATTTTAAATGCAACTTTCTCGTCCATGAATGAGGTTTGACGTGAAATCTCCATTTTCGGAATTTTTAATCTGCCGTTAAATTCATTGATGCGATTTAAACATTCAAAGTTAAATATGTTTTATATTTTAAAATTTTTTTTTTTTGTAAAAAATCTATTAGACATGTTATCATTTTTGTTCCAAATAAATTTGTTGATTAAGCAACCATTACCACCTTGACTGCCATAAATCATAAGATACATTATTGTTATTATGGTTTGATCAGAACTCTTTTCTATAACAAGGCGGAAATGATTCCTATCTTGTGGGAAAGACATGTTGATTAAGAGGTATTGATATACTTTACTTTTTTCACTCATTCAAATTAATGACAAAAGTCATAAATAAAATGAATGGGAAAATTATTTTTGTATATTTTTCTATGCAATTTGTTCATTAACTTTATCTTTACTTAATTCCACTCGTAATGCATCCCCCACTTCTTTACCTCTCCTCTTCCAGCCTCTTCTTTTCATCGATTAATCTGTTTCTCTGCTCCTCCCACGTTTTCTTTTGTTCACCACTTTTCCATTTTTCATTCTCCAACTTCACCTTCAATTCGTTCAACATCTTTTCCATATTATCACCATCTTTCTTTGTCTCTTCGTATTCCTTCTTCACCTCTTCCAATTCCTTTTCAATTTTCTCGGTTGTTGTCATTTTAAAATAACAATTTGAACCAATAGTAAATGAGTTACAATTCTTGGCACATGACTCGGACAAATAAAATTGATGATGATAATAAATAATAATTTGAATCTAGATCCGCATAAATTCATAATATAATATTAAAAACATGCTTCATACAAAATCTTATCTTAAACGTACGAAAAAAGGAAATGCCGTTAAAGTTGTTAAAGAGCATTATTTACGAGATGATATTGGCTGTGCTGTAGAAGGCTGTACAATTTGTTCTTCTGACACAGTCCCGGTTCTAAAATCAACCTCAGCTTTAATAACACAACTTGTTCCAAAACCTCATTTTATTATACCTGATACAAATGTCTTTATGAGACAGGTTTAATACCTTTTGTTTTAAGAATGACATTGCAGTAAAAAATTTACTTAAATCTATCAAAAATTGATCTAATTCACATTATAATATAGATTGATATTATTGGACATGAAGCAATTAAAAATGTGATAATATTGCAAACAGTATATGAAGAATTGCGAAATTTAAACTCTTCAATTTTTAATAGATTAAAAGAATTGATTAAAATCCCTGAACGATGTTTCTTTGTTTTTTCTAATGAACATCATCGGTAAATCATATATAATCATATCCATTATTTTAATTTGTGGCAATTATAAAAATAATGAATGCATCAATTTTTTTTTGTTTCAAAAAAAAAAAAAAAGGGAAACTTATATTGAACGTTTAAAAGACGAAAAATCAAATGACAGGAATGATCGAGGTTAGTTCAAATATGAATATTTTATTGATTAATTTATATATTTTATTAAATAATTAAAATGTTTATTCTAGCAATAAGATTTGCCGTGAAATGGTATTCTGATCATCTTAAAAAAATTGCCACTAGAAACAATGTTATTGGTATAGTTCTCTTAACAGAAGATATGGAAAATAGAACAAAAGCCAAAGAAGAAGGATTATTAGCATATTCTGGTATTCTTTTATTATCTATTATCCATTTAATTAATTATTACCCATTATCTATTTATTATTCATTACCCATTATCTCATTGTTATAAAGTAAGAGAATATGTTGAAGGCATGACTGAATATCCAGAATTGGTTGATATGATTGGAAATATATCTATATCTGATAACAAAGATAAAAAATTTGTTTATGATGATGTAAATTTGAAAAAAAAAATAATATAATTTATCTGTTTTTTTAATTTTTTTTTAAAGAAAATTATTCTTATAAATTATATAATTAATTTAAATAGTATATAGGTCAGAATCAAATAACAAATGGTATAAAAAACGGAACATTACATCAAGGAGAATTGAATATCAGCACTCATAATTACCTTGAGGTATTATAAGAGATCCTTTTATTTTAAAAGACTTATATAAATTTATTGTTCTAATGCTTTTTATTATTCTTATGATTTTTAGGGATCAATTATGAGTAAAATTGATGGAGAAGAAGCACAAATAATGATAATTGGACGCCGATGTTTAAATAGAGCAATCCAAGGAGATGTGGTCGTAGTTCAATTGTTACCCAAGTCTGAATGGCTTAAATCTCCTACAGCTGTTGTAGTTGAAGAAGGTGCATTAACATATAAGGCAGATATTAATATATATGTGTTATAATAAAATTATTCAATATAATCAACTATACGGTCTATCAATATAAATAAAAAAAAAAAAAAATATGCTTATTGCCTATTACTTATATTTATTTGCTAAATTTAGATGAGGAAAATAATGTAATAGCTGATCTTAATGAAAATGGTGAACCGAAACCACAAACAGATGATCTTGATAGTGAAACAAGCAAATCATTGCAACCTACTGGGAAAGTAGTTGGAATTATTAAAAGAAATTGGAGAACGTATGTATATATTAATTGTTGGTTAATCTATCTAAAAAAAATTTTTTAAAAAGTAAATTCGAAAAAAATTTTAATTATCAAAAAGATATTGCGGCTCTATTAATAATCAATCAGTAAAAGGTTCGGTAACATCATATTCATCAGAAATTGCGTATGTATATACTATGGATAGACGTATTCCCAGAATAATTATAAGAACAAGACAAGCTCAAAAGCTGATGGGACAAAGAATAGTTGTTTCGATTGATTCTTGGTCAAAAGACACAAAGTATGTTTTCAGGAAAAAAATATTAGTTTTAATTAACTGATATTTGGTTAATCAACTAACCATTAAAATTTGAATTTTTATAGATTTCCAACAGGTCACTTTGTAAAAGCGTTGGGACCTGCGGGGGACAAAGAGACCGAGACGAATGTCTTACTTTTAGAACATGAAATTCGTTACCAAGATTTTAGTCAACAGATACTAAAAGAACTGCCAGTTGAAGGTGATAATTGGATAGTCAAGGATGAACATTTCAAAGGACGCAAAGACTTCAGAAAACTAAACGTTTGTAGTATTGATCCCCCTGGTAATGAATGATCCGCATATAATCCTAATAGTTGCCTATCTATTTATTATATTTATAATTTATTTACTAACTAAACAATTAATCAAACAAACTCTTATAAAATTTAAAGGATGTACTGATATTGATGATGCATTACATGTAAGAGAACTTCCTAATGGAAATTATGAAGTTGGAGTCCGTAAGTATTTAAGAAAAAAAAAAGTTATTTAAAAAAGATTTATTTTATATATGAACAGTCATAATAAATGTATATTTTTTTAATTTTTAGACATTGCAGACGTTACATATTTTGTTAAACCTGGTACTGCAATGGACGAAGAGGCTTCAGTACGTGGAACCACAGTATATCTTATCAATAAACGTATTGACATGTTACCTCCATTATTAGGAACAAGTAAATTAGTTATTAAATATTTTGTGAGCTTGGTATTTAATAATCAATTAATATGTTAATATACACATTATTTACATTATATAGATCTATGTTCTCTCCACGAAAAAAAGGACAGATTGGCATTTTCTTGTGTTTGGGTAAAAAAAAATTTTTTTTCTTTTTTAAAAAAAATATATTATTACGGAAACCTTAATATATGTATATATATTTAATAATAAATCAAGGAATTAAATCATGAAGCAGAGATTGTTAAAGTGGATTTTACAAAAAGTGTTATTCAATCAAAAGCATCATTAACATATGAAGAAGCTCAATTACGTATTGATGATTTGTAAGTAATATACATATTTGAATGACTATTGATAATTATTGATAACACTTATAATCAATAATTCGTGTTTTTCACTTAATAGTCGATTACAGGATGAACTCACAAAAGGTCTTCGAATTTTAAATGAATTGGCAAAAAAATTACATAAAAAACGTATAGAAGGCGGCGCAATCACATTATCCAGTCCAGAAGTTCGATTTCAATTAGATTTTGATTCTCAAGATCCTGTTGATATTGGTATTGTTATTGTTATTATATTGGTTATTGTTATTATTATTATTATTTATTTATTTATTTATTTATACTAAAAATAAAAATACATATATATATAGAAATGAAGGAATTAAGAGAGACTAATGCATTGGTAGAAGAATTTATGTTGTTAGCCAATATTTCTGTAGCCAAAAAAATCTTTTCAAAGTTTCCTGCATCATCATTGTTAAGGTAACATTTACATTTACATATTTACTTTGACTAATATTTTTAATCATTTTTTACTTTATTATTATTGCAAATAAACAGACGACATCCTCCATTGACTACATCAAAGATGGCAAATTTAGTTAAAGCAATTACACCTTTAGGTTTAACTTTAAAATTCGACACGTCAAAAGAACTGGCCGATTCATTAGATGCTGCTATAGTAATAATTTATTTTTATTGTATATATTGATTGATTCTTGGAAGTAAAAAATTTATATATTTAAAAAATAAATATAGATACCTGATGATCCATATTTCAACAAATTATTACGAATTATGACAACCAGATGTATGATGCAAGCCATGTATTTTTGTTCTGGTACAGTATCTCAACAAGATTTCAAACATTATGGACTTGCAATAGATATTTATACACATTTCACTTCTCCTATTCGAAGATATTCAGGTAAAGGAAGTTAAAAAGTTTTTTGAACATTATAAATGCTGTGAAATTTGTTAATGATTTTTTTTATCATGGAAAATATATGTGTGTGCAGATGTTATTGTACATCGAATGTTGGCAGCAGCTGTTGATGATAGTGAAATTTATGGAAATGAGTTAACAGATATTGAAAAAATACGAATACTTTGTGAAGGTAAAAAAGATTTATAATATTTGAAATATTTGAAATAATCAATTTAATATATAAATGCATGTATATTAATTATTCGATTATAGGTTTAAATTATCGGCATAGAATGGCACAAAGTGCATCACGTAGTTCAGTTGAATTACACACACACATTTTTTTCAAAGGAAAAAAGGAATCAGAAAATGGATATGTAACCAAAATACTAAAGAATGGCTTTATAGTTTTAATTCCAAAGTAAGTGATTATTTAATTATTTAAAGTCGTTTGATTGTTGATTTTTAAAAAGAGATATATTTATAAATATATTGGTGCAAATAAAAACAACCCAAAAATTAGGTACGGTATAGAAGGAATTGTTTATTCATCATCGTCATCGTCATCGTCATCATCGTCGTCGTCGTCAGAGCCCAATATTTTATACAATGCACATGATAACAGCTTAGAAATATATTCTTCTGATGGAAAGATTATTGGCACTATTAAATTGTTTGATAAAGTAGTTGTAGCTATTAGTGTTGAGGGTTCGGATGGAGATAGTGCAAGTGGTATGAGACAAAAATTAAAGATGGAATTAATTTATCCGGTAGTGCCCGGGTTAAGTATTTCTTTAGATGATAATGATGATGGTATTGATAATAATAGAGAGAATTCCAGAAAAAAAGATTTGACAGATGTTGAAGAAGGGAATTTAGGCAAAAGATTGAAAATTTAAAATTTATTCTTTTTTTTTTTACAAGACTTATTTTATATGTAGCATGTCAAACATTCAAAGAATGTTTTCAGCAAGCTTAATTAATATTAATATAAAATTTTAATTGAAAATCATTGTTATAATCAAAAGTTGCCAATTTTATTATTAACTCTTGGTGAATCGTAAAAAAAAAATGAAACTATTGCTTACTTCCTAATCAGGTTGGCATTTTTATGTGTCAAATTAATTAATTTTCAATTGGACTTGAACAGATAAAGTAACTATTGGAAAACGGTCCAATATGCCAATGTACAAACTTACCATGTTGGCATATTCAAAACAAATAAAAAATTTATTATTACGATCAAAATAAATTTTTAAATAAAAAAAGATCACATTTGAAAATTTCAAGTTTGTAAATGTAGTTGAGGAAGAAAGAATTGTTGCAGTTCTACATTCTCAATGAAGAGCCTGCCTGTACAATTTAATCAAATATTGTTTTTTTTTTCTCTTTACAATGAATTTATTTGGTAACTCTGCCAACACTGTTCTTAATATTTTATAGATTGATTTGTAGTTTATATGAAAAGCAAATATGGCAGTTCTAATGTTCCTATGTTCGGTTCGGGTTCGGTTCAAGTTCGAGGTTCAAGAACATGTTCAAAGTATAAAATCCGACCAATTATTTACAAAAATATGCAAATATTTCCAAATCGTCAATTCGCCAATGTCCTGCAAGCAAGCTTTATATACAATAATGGCTGTATTTACGCTTGACTTGAGCTAGACTTGTGTTGCGAAGGAACTATTAATAATCATACTATTGCTATTATTTCTCTTATTTATTAATTATCTGTATTATTTATCATTGCTTTATAATTCGAACCGATTTTAAAATTAAAAAGTTTGGAACAACTTCGAGTCCTCGCTTGAAAGAGCGAAGGAAAAATAAAAATGCAATTAACATTTTAATGAAATAAAACTCTGATAGAATCATTGTTTTAAATAAAATTAATCGTTAATAAAATCCCGGAGACAAGTGTGGGTAAAAAGGGTGACGATTGTGAGGCTTTGGTAAAAAGCCACATTTTATTTGCTTTAATGAGTAGGACATGAACATTGTTCGCGAACTTTGAACCGGACTTCTGCTTTAATGTGCTGGACCGAACCTGAATATGGTCAGGAGTTCGGTTCGATTCGATCCTCAATAGGAACCCTAACTGCCCAAACTATGGATCATTTCTACAGCGCTCAGTTTACCGAAAACCAAACTCCTGAAATTTTAAACAATTTTTATTATAAAAAAAATGAATGATGATGATTAAATAAGAAATTGAATTGAATGAAAAACTTTAGGAAAAGTCGAATGAAGAGCAACAAGAATTGCAAAAGGCTAATAGACGAAACCGATAACAAATCGAGAGAACCAAAGAACAATCAATACTACTAATATTAGATGCGTATTAAGCACAGATGGATAGATTATGCTGATATTTCTAAATGTGGTAATATCGGTGTTGAAAATAGAGTTTTTACCCGGGTTTTTCCGGACATAAAGGATTCTGATTATTATTATTATTATGATTGTTTTTATCTGACAAATTTTATCTTTTTGATAATAATATCAATATATTGATAATAATAATAATGGTTAAAAATTACTTTACACGGAAAGATCTTGATCATCATAAAAACCACGTGAAACCATGTATTATAAAAGTTGGACCCGAAAAAAAAATTTTTTTTTTAATAAATCTTATTTTTTTTTTTTTAGAATATTTCCAAGTCAAAATATTTGATTAAATGGGACCTCACTCTAAATATGATAATTTATTTATAGAACCAATTAATGCCATCAATGTAAATTTATCTAATAATAATACGATAAACTTAACGTTACCAAACCATTCAGTAAATTCAAAACGAACCAGTTCTACCAAAAGAACATATTCAAATGAATTAACAACAAAAAATCATAAATTAAAATTTAGAACAGGGACGACAATATTAACTCCACCTATCACACCGCCTATTATTGCTAGCAGTAGTAATTCATTTTGTACAGCAGATAATCATAATAATAATAATAATCATAATAATAATAATCATAATCACAATGATAATAACAAGTCAAAATTAATAGTAGAATGTCAAGTACGCGCACGGATTCCAACCCTAACAAAAGGAGAATTTTTTTTGAATTTATATAAGAATAATAAGGATAATAAGGAACATTTAGCAATTGTATATGGGAACGATATATACAGTAAAAGTTTAGATAGACCACGATCGGGTGAAAAGGAAATAGACAGAATGATAAGAGGCGCATATACAGGTAGATTAAGACCCGGGCAAACCAAATCAGATGAATTAGGCGAATCCATTAATAAGATTTCAACAACCGAGCAACATTCTCAACAACAATCGCCATTAGTAAGAATCCATTCAGAATGTTTCACAGGTGAAACTGTACATAGTGCAAGATGTGATTGTGGTGAACAACTGGAAGAAGCAATGAGATTAATTCAATCTGAAGGTCGTGGAGTCATTATATATTTGAGACAAGAAGGAAGAGGGATCGGGTTGGCCGATAAACTTCGGTAAAAATAATAATAACGATTCTATGATATTTAAATTTTTTTGTTTGTGAACCTAATAATAATAATAGTAATAATAATAACTTTCTAATATGTATATATTATTTAATCAAGAGCGTATAATCTTCAAGATTTAGGGCATGATACAGTAACGGCTAATTTACTTTTACAACACTCACCTGATCTTCGTAATTATGATATTGCCAATCAAATTCTTAAAGATCTTAACTTAAAATCTATAAGACTATTAACTAATAATCCTGATAAAATTAAACAAGTCAATGAATCAGGAATTGAAGTGATTGAACGTATTCCGATGATTCCCAACTTATGGAAAGAAAATAATATTGCTACTAATAGTAATAATAATAGTAGTATTGGTAGTAATAATTATTATGACGGTGTTAATATTAGTAAGAGTAATAACAAAGAATTAAATAAATACCTTAAAGTAAAGGTGGAGAAAATGAGACATTTATTAAATATTCCAGAAATATTGCTCAAATAAATTAGAATTAATTAGAATTAATTTATTTATTTATTCTTTTAATTATAATTTTTATTATTAAAACAATTATTAGATGTGAAGATCAATAAGTTTCTGATAATATGATTTTTCATTTTGAAGAAAAATTCAAAATTTCTTTTATTATCAACAATATTTTACATAAAAAATAAATAAGACCATGCTGAATATTAAAGTCATTAAGGAACAAAATCCCTTAAACATCATTTCCTCCAAAAATATAAAATGAATCTGAGGTAATATCCTTGTACTCGGGATTTAAAATCTTAGTTGATGAAATAAATTCGAGTTTCGAACTAAATATATTTGTTTTTATACCACTTGCCTTGTTCGAAAGTATTTAGAGATAAAACAATTCAACTTCTAGAAATTTCTATTTCTATTTCTATTTCTATTTCAAATTCAAATTCTATTTCGATTTTGGATTTCAATTTTAGTCAAAAGTTTTAGGTTTGATTCAAAGAAACAAAAATGAAGTAATTCAACAAGTGATTTAATGATAAATGACCACAATTTTATATTTAAAGTCATTGATACAAAATAAAATGTATTAAACCGGTCTTCGGTTTTCCGAAAAGTAGTAAGGTCTTTGGAACCGAAACCAGTACAACTCTAATGTACAACTTTATCTAGGTCGGCAACACACGCAGCTTCTGCTTTTCCAAAAAACTAACTATCCACCAATTTCTTAAAATTCTTTGTTGTTTCAAGCATTATCTAAAATCGGCAAAATGAAAAATTGCTCGATTTGCTCCATCGATCCGAATTCATAAATAGTCATATTTCAATAGAGATGATATTGATAGCTATTGACTAGTTCTACAACCTATCATCGAGATATTTTAAAAAATTATTAGTTCTAGAGTTATTAGCTTTTAAAAATTTCAATGTTTCAATTTGGAAAATTTTAATATAACATATAAAAACACGTGATTTTAAAAGTCAAAAACTATCGAATACCAATAAACATTCAATATTTCCCCATCTGGCTTTAAAAGTTGGTTGGCGTAACCACCATGGTGGAAGTTTGTTGTTACACGGACCGTTATACAGAACTCATTGCTTCTGAAACTTCGCCAGCATATAGTTGTTACCTCTCTAAATTGGAGATCAAGTTCAGATCCAATTCAAATCCAGTTTATCACTTACTTTTTATTGCCAGAATGTTTGCCGTGTATTGTAAAGCTACGTTGCACAATATAAAAAATTAGTGTAACATTTCAAATTTCCATTATGCTGGCGTAACCCGTATTACACAATTGCCATTAAAAAAATTGTCTAACATACTTTAATATTTTGAGCAAAGTTTTTCTTAAAACAAATTTTCAGTGCTTGACTGATAAAGAGAAATTTCCATAATGCTCACGCACTGTACCACTTAATTTATTTCGTGCCGCAGAAAGCATGGGAAAATACTATAATGTACCGCAGAATACCTCAGATAATAGAAGAAGAGGTACAAGAACAACAATTGCAATCAATACTAGAATAGAAGAAAATCCTGGTGCATTTCACGTTGACAATGGAATTTTTATTTTGTGTCCATTCTGTTGATTGAGTACGAAAGTCAACGGTTGATGAACACCTTGATAGCGAAGCTAAGAAAAATCTGTATGAAAATAAACAACGTCAACTTCAACAAACACTTGTACTTTTCTTTCTTCTTTTGAATCTAAAAGAAATGAATGGGCAATTTATTGTGGATTCCATGTTTAGTATAGAAGTTGCGTGAATATTGGTCAAATATGACCGAAAATTTACCCTTTTATCTCAAATAGCATTTGAATATATAGTTACCAATTTCTTGTAGTATAGAATGAAGTTTTTCTAAATATAATTCAATTTTAGATGATAATCTGAAGAGTCTTTACGAAGTTTAAACGTGTTTTATTTTAATGGTAGTAATTTATGATTTCTATTTTGTAATAATTTTAAATGAATAATAATAATAATAACTAATTTAATGGTCGCGTAACTATTCTTTCTGATTGCAAAACCGGAGAATGCATAGCAATATAGATAATTAATATCAGAATATAGTCACGAACGGAATTAATGTTTCATCACCAGAAAATTGCCCAGAGTTTGTTATAATTATAATACCGATCATTTCTTAAAATCGAATGCATTCTTACAAATTTAATCAAACAAAGAAATAAAGTTCAAACAAATACTTTGCAAGTTAGTCAGCCACATTTCTCCAATCAAGTAACCAATAAAGAAAATCTTTTCAGTGAATTTCCCGTTTTAGTTTTTTTAAAAAAAAATTTTGCATTTAAAAATAAATACCTTATACAACCTTTAACAAAATTTCTTTATTTTCTATTTAACTTTATCGCCGAATTTTTGGACAATTAATGTAAAATAAACATACAAGTGATATAAAAACCAAAAAAAAAAATAGAAATATCATGACAATAATTGTAAATAGTATATCGGAAGTACAGGGAGGTGGGGGAGGGACGCTCTTTGATGATTTTAAAGACATTCTTAGTAATCTAACATTTGGTGGTACCGCTAATATAAAAAAAATCAGTGTTAAAGGGGTAACAGACATTAAAAGTGGCGATTTTTTAGAAACTATTCGATTTGTCTATAATGTAGTGACAAAAGACGGAACGTCATATGAGCATCAAGGCAATAAGCGTGGCTTAGGTATGGGAGGACCTGATCAAGCGCCATTTGATTTTGCTGCTAATGGAGATTTAGTAGAGATAAGAGGCAGAACTGGCATCGACCCAGGTGGATCTACAGTCGTAAGATACTTGATGTTCAAAACACCACAAAAAACACTTGAATATGGTAAAAATATCCCATCAGTGAAAGAATTTGTTTTACCTCCGGGTGTTATCTTTGGGAATAGTGGTAATACTGTTGATTCCCTCGGGGCATACGAGATTGCAGAAATAGTCGATAATGCAACATCAACAATTACTGAAACAATGGCAGAATCTACAAAAACAGTAACGATAACTGCTGATGCTGTAGCAGAAACGATGTTTGTCGATAATCCTCGGATAATTATCGGTCTCAGTGTTCCCATAGCAGCATTAAGTATACTATTAGTGGTGGCTTTGTATTATATATATAGGAACAATAATTATTATAAGAGTAAAAATGGTCTACTCAGAATAGCAGGTAATCATTAATGATAATTGTAGTTAAGGAAAATATCGATAGTTGAATAGAATAAATATACTAGCATATTAAATTACTCTATCTTTAATATATATACTTATTCATTAAATCACATCATTTGTATATTACCAGTAACTTTACAATACTTTCTATTTATAATTTTATTTTAACATCAATTTTTATATTACAAATGTGAATGGTTATTATGTAAATTATTTTTTGTCATTAAAATCT